GTGATAAGTGATACATGGGGGTTTCAAAGTTATCAAAGGATTCTGGGTTCTGGAGAAGGTTTAGGGTAGGAACAGTAGCAAGTTCACCAAAGAAGCCGAACTTCAGTGAAGTTTTCTCTCTGTTTTTTTTTTTTTTTTTTTTATTCTATACTTTCAAAAAATTTAATTAAGATTACTTAATTGTCACAGAGAATTTGCAAATGATGAAAAAAATTCATTTTTTGTGGATGTGGCATGCCACATCAGATAAAATTACAGTGTGATAATGGAAGGAATAAAAAATGTGCATAATTAAGAGTTGAGAACTAAAAAAGGGTTAAAAATAGTTTAGGAGCTAAAAGTGTTCAAAAGTCAGTTCATGGATGAAATTTAGCAGTTAACCATTTTTTTTCCATCAATAAGCAAATAAATGCATGATTCAAAGCCGTTGCATTTATTTATTAATTCTTAATTCCGTTTTATAATAATTTGAAATAAGATAATTTTGTGTTCCTTTATTGTGAGTTAGAAACTATCTTTGTGGCGAAGGATTATAAAAACACAATCAATTATTGTATTTATAAAATTCATTCCTTTAAAATTCTAAATGTTATTACTCATTCCCTGCAGTTGCACTATTACTGGCTGTCTTCCTTGTTTGCTTCCTTGGTAAGCAATACCGTCTATTAAATGAGACTTTAATAACATTTACTTTTGTGTTGTCTTCATCAGCAAAGCGTATTTGTTGGATGTGTCTGCTATTCCTTTTGTTTTATAATTTGAATTGAAGTCATGTTTTTATTAAATGTCAAATTTTAATTATTGAACTTTTAATTTTGAATATTTTAATTTTTATATTACTTTTGTATTTTTTTTAGTTCTTAAACTATGAAAAATATATTTTTTATTTTTTTGTCAGTTAATTTGTTAGTCTATCAAATTATGTATATTTTTAATTCTTAAACTTATTATAAATGTGTATATATAAACATATTGAAAATGTATGACAAATTAAAAATATACATATGGATATATTTGACAAAAAAATTAAAAATATATTTTTTATAATTTAGAGACAAAAAAAAATTCAAGGATTAAAATTGATATTTAATCTTTTTTTTATTCTTTTATTATGAGTTGAAGGCAAATTTTTTAATTAAAAAAATTAATTATATTGTAGTTATGAAACTTTTATTCTTTTTAATCTTGAACGTAACTTGTTTACTGTAGTGCTGCCAGCCGCAACGGTGATTTTCATGCTATTTTTCCTTGGTAACCGGATTCTTGGTAAGCAATATAAGCAACAAGATCGATCCGCTCAGTAAGCACACACAGTTTAGCTAACGATTATAAAGGCAATAAATTGCATATATGAAACTCATTCTATCTGATCCTAAATATATACTCATTCATTATATAGGGGCGGTTTCAATGCTCTCATGGTACTTTGGTAAGAAATACTATGTCTACTGATCAATGAGCCCTTTTCTTTTCTTCATTTTTGTTCTATATCTTGATTCTTCTTTATGCTAAAATTATTATTATTATTATTATTATTATTTTGTTATTAGCAAGGGATTTATATCAGCTAAAGTTGATGGATGGGTATGCCCGTGAGGTTATACGTTTGATATGTGAAGAGTCATTTTCAAAATTAGATGAGATCCAGTTTGGGCGAAGTACAGCAGTGGAGGCAACCCTCCAGGCTATCAAGAACGGCATCCCAGACATTGTGATAGCAATTACTGATGCTAATAATAATATATTACGGAGCATCACAGATCCTGAAGATTCATCAAGAAACATATTTGCTTGTGCTATAGAACATCATCAAGAGGAGGTGGCACGCTTTCTTCATCGGTCTGCAGAGGAGGGGGCAAACATGGTTATTGCCCTCGATGAAGATCAAAATAATATATTACATCTAGCAGCAAAGTTAGCCCCTCCTCATCAATTAGATTGCATCTCTGGTTCAGCGTTGCAGTTGCAAAGTGAACTACGTTGGTTCAAGGTAATTTTTTATTTTTATTTGTTTTTTTTTAATTAAGTATTGAGAAATTTTATATAATTCCTTATTTCATATATTATGAAAAACTGTAGGGGGTAGAAAAAATTGTTCCACGATCTTACCGCCAACACCAAAACAACAACGGGGAAACTCCTCTGGAAGTGTTTGTTAGAGAACACACGGATTTGCTAAAAGAAGCAGTGGAATGGGGGAAGAAAACAGCAGAATCCTCTACAGTCGTTGGTGCTCTTATTATTACAATTATGTTTGCAGTGGCTTTTACTGTTCCTGGTGGGAATGATCAAAGTACAGGCTTTCCCATACTTTTGCACAAAACTCCGATACCGTTTATAATATTTATGGTATCAGATGCACTTTCTCTTTTTGCTGCATCCAGTTCAGTGATGATATTTTTGGGGATTCTGACTGCACATCATGCTGCTGAAGATTACCGCAAATACTCCCTCGTGATTAGCGGCCTTACTTATCTCTTCATCTCTATTGCAACAATGACCATAGCATTTTGTGCTGCTCTTTTCATCACGCTACAAGGTCGATTGGTGGTAGTCATTCCTATAAC